GTGCCCTCCCCGTAGAGCCAACAGGAGCATCCGTTGCGGTGCTTCCCGAGACTCGATTTCGTCCTCAACTGCCTTGGGCCGGAGCTTCATGTTCAGCAATCCGAGGGTTTCGGACGTTTGTCTGGGGGGGGGGGGGGGGGCTAGGGTGACGGACTGCGGCGCTTGCTCGTTCGCTTGCCCACCGCCGCGTCACCAGTAGAGCCAATCGCCTCGGAGGCCACCTTAGTAGCCTCCTGGAGTACTGATCCTTTGCCGTGAGGCTTAGTGCTCCTGGCTTGCGCCTTTCCGGCAGCAGCCTTGGAGCGTGTCTTCGCACTGCTCTTCGCAGGCATGTTAACGGTCGATGTGGAGACCAAGAAGAGGAGCGCACATATACTGCTGCTCGAGGCTCTAACTGTGAAGTGAGCCTCCGCCGCGCTCGCGCGGCCAGGTCGATGTTTTTCGACTTTGATAATGAAAGTTTGTGACGTACACTTCATTCTGATTGGTCGGTAAACCGAACCTAAGTGGGGGAAGATGTAACGGGGTACGTAGCCCTAGGTGTGCCGCTAGTTACATGAAGTGTGACACGTCATACTTCGGGATATTTGGTACAAGGTACCAAGGTCGTCCAACGCCAATCATTGGCTAATGACATTGCTTTTCTAAAGGTGACTTATAGTTTGTATTTAAATCAAGCTTAGCCTTCACCACAAAGTTTTTTGCTGTGCACGGTAATGTGGGGAGCGGGCTCATCTGGAGCTAAGTAATAGCAGGTGTTCTCTATATAAAAAAACATTTTTCGTCCAATGCACGTAATTGAGAAGAGAGTCAAATTTGTATCCACCACGAGCAGAAGGTTCCACAAACTTTCGAGCGAACTCCATCCTTGCGACGCGCTGTTCATCCGTGAGTTGAGGTTTTAGTCGAGCGCGGGGACTCCGAAACAACCCAGATTGTAGGTACACATGCAGCGTAGATTTAGCAATACCGAGTTGCTCCGATAAAGTTCGAAGGTTGGTTCGCAGATGGAGTGGCGTAAGTGCGATCTTCTCTGCGAGCTCTCGGGTAACTTCGTCGTCTACCTGTGACTTCCTGCCACTGTGCCCCTTCCTACCGCTCTCCACATCGCACAACTTGCCGTTCTTCACCGCATCACGAGCTTTCTTCTACAGGCGGCGAATTTGGCGCTCCGAACACCCAAGGAGAGCCGAAACGCGGGCGTAGGTCTTGTCTGGCACTGTCATGCTCGTCGCGACGCCGTACATTAGAGACAAAGCGTACTCTCGCTCTTTCGGTGTCAGATTCGTGCGCTTGGTAAGGTCTGGAGGCTCCAAAAATAAAAAATATTTTCTTCAGACGTCCATATCTCGAGAACCACTAGAGATTTTACAATTCTAAATTAATTTGAAAAAAATGTGGCCTAATATTTCTGGACAGAGGAAGTATAATTACGAATCGGCAACATATTTTCGGTCCGGAAGACACATTTTGTCAAAGTAAACTTTTACAACGAGTGGCTTACTCAAAAGGTTAGAGCCTGCACTCGCTGCTGTAGGAACTTGCACGTAAAAAAAAGACACAAGAAGCATGACGTCCAATTCAATTTTGCTTCTCACTACACTAGCTACCATCGATTTCCGTGCTCATTCACACCATTTTGATCGCAATCAAATTAAACGATTTCCTCGGCCACCCTCCTCACCGCTACCGTTGCACTCTTACTGCATAGCTCGCTAAAGGCGACAAGTGCGACGCTGACAGCTACTCCAAAGTCGTCACTGCCGTGCCGATGCTTCACACCAACTGTCAGCTGGGCAGCCTACCTCTCTGGCGGAAATGTGTGCACATGCGACTCTCAAGTGCCTGGACAAAACTACAAGGAAATGGTGAAGACGTGCGGGGCGTCTTCGTCGGAAAACGATCTTCACGACTACCTCACCCAGCGCTACTACATGTACGACAAACCACCGCTGGGCTCACATTTTATGAGCTTGTCGAGTTGGGAATTGGTTGAAGATCTGGCGTGCTTCCGGCGGTCTGTTCAACGACGCTTCAGCGTGCACAATATACACACCATTTTGCAGCTTACAAACTTCCATACTAACCCGCCCACGTTGAAGTTGACGAAAGCGTGGAAGCGCTCCTCTTCATTGAGTTGTGTTGGATCATTCTCCAATTTCCCCCCAAGCGATCACGACCCAGATCAAGACCTGTCAATACTCGCGATGGTTGCTCGAGTTGTTGCGAAGAAAGGCTCCGTGTGGTTTAGCGACCCTTCCGTACGTCGCTCTGCGTCTTCCTCCACCTAAACGTGAAGCTAACCCTCTTGCGTGTATGTATTACAGACGTACCCTCTTCTTGCTGCTTTAGGCGTGGCTACCGTCATGTGCGCTGCGACTGGTGTGCGCCACCTCACCACGAGCCCCGACGTCAAATGGGACCGTGATATCCGCAAGCATCCGGATATGGCACTCAAGGACCGCTCGGAGTGGCGCTCGCACCGTAAGTACATCTCGAGTCTGCACTCGAACGCCGTCAACGCCTACCACGACAAGTAAACGCCTGCATTAAGCTCCATCAGTCTGTCCGTTCGATCTTTCTTAAAAAAAAAATACAACGTCGTCTACTGTGTCAATTTTGTTTAAAACATTTCTTCATAGTTTTCATAATCCTTAAACAATTCTCGAAGCAAGTCATGAGTTAGGGTATGACCCGGACTTGACGCGAAAAAGTAACCGTGGAGAGGAAGGCCGGCAAGACCGATATCTCCGATACAGTCCAGCATCTTGTGTCGTGTCCACTCGTCGGGGAATCGCAGTCCATCTCCGTTTAGCACGGAAGATCCGCCGTCTTTGGCGAATACGACGGCGTTGTCGAGCGATCCACCGCGTGCCAAGCCGTTCGCTTGCATCCACGCGATCTCGTCTTCGAACGTGAAAGTTCTGGCTGATGCTATTTCGCGTTGGAACGTGTCAAGTGTAGAGTCCGGGTCAGAGCCTAACGAGAAGCGACAGAACGTCGTGCCCAGCTGCTTGTGCGCGAAATTCACCTGCACTGACATATGCAGTGTCGGAGTTTGTAAAGGAGACGGGGAGCCACTGAGATCTTTTGGCATAGGGAGAAGCCACGCAGCCTTATCCTGCTTGAGGACTTGTACCGGTCGCTTAATGCGCAGATACTTGAGTACTGCGCCTTGTTGCGCTTCGATACCCACACGTCGGATTCCCTCAACGTACTCGATACTACTACCGTCTAGAACCGGTAGCTCGACACTGGAGTGTTGACTATTTTCTTCAAAGTCAATGAAGGCGTTGGTGACTTGAGACGCCACCAACGCGGCCATCAAGTGCTCGCAAGTTGATACAAATGTGCCGTTGGCAGTGAGCTGTGTGCACAATTGGCTCTTGCGAGCATCCACGTTGGCGATGAGAGCGGGAATAGCCGAGCGTTGAGCATCAGTGCGGAAGACGATACCTGATCCCGCAGGTGCCGGGAGAACGCGGATCGCTACCTTCTCACCGGAGTGGAGCCCCACGCCCGCGAAGTGCAGGGGCTGCTTGAGAGTGCGTTGCCACCGGCTCATTGAATTTTGGCCAATAACGTTAAGTGGTAGTTTTCGGATTTGCTACAGGCAGTGTTTTGTGCAATAATACTTTTTTCTTCCATGATTCAATAACAGACTACATGCACAACAGACAACCATTACTAAAAAAAAATGTTCGGGTGTATGGCGGTTCTAAGGGCTGGACTTTAGCAAGGTCGGACCAAGAAAGCTTAGACTTGCTTTAGCAACGTGGAAATCTTAAATTGTTGTTGTAGTGATGGACTTCCACCTGGAAGTGCGCTAACGTTATTTAGCGATGCTGACTTCTACATGAGTACTCTTGATAAATGAGTAAGCCATCACTTGAACACACATTTTCATTGTTCAGAGCCCCACTGCTTCGGTGCTGGCGTCGAGCGTCGTTTCATTTTTGATGCGAATTTCTAGGCATCTAACTACGACCGTCGTTGGGGTTAGTTCTGCAGATCTTCTAGCGTTGCGCTGTCGGTTTTGTGCCTCAGTTCTCGAGGAGTGTGACTTGCGTTGACGTCCTTTTGACGAGGAGGTGACATGCGTGGTGCCTCAAGCAGCCGCAGCGTTGACGCGCACGCTGAATAACAAGCGGGTATTAATCTCTCCAAAGCAAAACGGATGCTGGCTACTTCAGGGTCTTGGTTGACAATAATAATAACGCGGCAGATACCGTGCTTGTCGGGACACATCCTTGACCCCATAGCATTGCGTCAAGCATCAGAGGCCATAGTGGCGGTGACATCATCTGGTGTATACATGTTCCTGACAGTTTTCTGCATCGAGCTTCACTTCAACATCCCCGCCTGTCCCTATGATAGCTATCCCTTGATACCAATTCATGAATCATGAATCACAACCAGGTTGCGACAAGATGAGCCCTATGCAGACAACTGGCACTTCGTGTCAGCCATTAGCGACCTCCATGTCTGCGTGTGTACATGTATCATCAGTACAGCACACCTGAGGAGCTCACGTGTGTATTGAAAGACCCATACACTGTACTGTAGATGAACTGAACTCTCTCCACCTTCACTGCGATATTCGCTCGCCTTGGTGAATAAACTGCCCAATTGAAGTCGACCACACCACTTTCACTTACTGAAACGCAGTCAAGGCCAAGTTGAACTGCCCAAGGTAACAAGGTATCCATTCAACCTTTTCTTCCGCATAATTCGGTCTCGCTCACTCGAGAACGTCCGGCATGGCGGAAGCGTCGCCGTCGAGGAAACCGGCGGCGCTACTGGAGCTGGATCTTGCGCTGTCGGGTCATGTTCGAGTCGCGCTCACTCCCACTCGCTCGCAGAAGAAACGTCGTGGCAGGAAGCCACTCAAACATCCAGAGACCGAGTACATGTCGGCGTCTCCAGCAGAGCTCAACGCAATGCACAAGATCCGCAAGCTGCACAAACGACAGGAACAGGAACAAGTTCGTACAGCTAGACAGAGATTCGTACCCGACAGCGAGGACGAAGAGGCTTCTACAGCTTCTTCATCATTGCGCTTTGTGACGCTCCCACCAAAGCTCATAACGAGCAAGTCCGAAGGACGAGCTAATGCCCTACCAAGTCGAAGGAGACAATTACAACAACAACAATTGCATCTTCATCCGTCTAGACCCATAGCTCAAACTAGAGAGCGAACCAACTCGACAGGAAAGCTGGTTCGAAAGTGTACTCGCAGCAATAGATCCCAGTCATCAGCGTCGTCTAATGCGAGTGAGGCTGCCGCCGCTGCGTTCGAGCAAGGTCTCATGTCTTCTCAGACGTTCTCGACCTCTGCTGTACTGAGTGATAAAGCTTTACTGACAGTAGCTCGACGAGCGAAGACGCAGCTTGAGAATGTATCGAAACGCTACGAAATGCTTGGCAGATGGAAGAGAATGGCTCGATCCAAACCGGATTGTCAGGTGTTTGAGTCACTCAGTAAAGCGAAAGATCAGTTCAGTGTCGTAGTCAAGATGAACTTACCGTGTAGTCTACGAGAGATCATGAGTGTCTTCTCCACCGACAAGGAGGCCGAGTATCATCGCAGTATGGAGGCAGTTTTCGGAGACCAATACGTCTACGGCGTCAACGTCCGCAGTGTGGACTGCGCTCCATACACGACAGATGCCAATGTGTTACATGGACAACGTCGAGCTTCTGAACCTCCACTACGTCGCGTCAGTGAAGGAGCGAGTATTCCACCGCTACACTCGGCCAAATTGAAGCTCAATGCCGTGTCTTTAATGCAGAAACATCGACTAGTATGGAAGCAACGCAACATGACATTCTTGGACTATCTGGAGGAGCAAATCGAGGGAAAATCGGTCACTCGAGTGCTGCAGACGATGGATATGCAGGACCAAGAACTTGAGTTCAGCAACGTGACCATGACGTCACCTACTGCGACGTCAAGTAGTCAGGAGAACTACTATCCACCTCGTCAGCATGGAGACGATTTACACCAGGAGCTTAAAGGTATTATGGCCGGGTACGTCATCCAGGAAGACTCAGAGGAGAAGATGACGCGCGTCTTCTTCCACGCGACACAACGTCATCGCTCCAGTCAGACGAAGATGCCTCGCTCTGCTGTTCAACTCCTGCGTGCCATGGTGAACAAGGTGTGTCTACTGGAGAGTGTGGTGCTGCGTCGTCGTCTAGGGTACTACCCGCTGTCTCGCCTGCCTTCTTCACATGACGCAGCCACCATGGCGTCCTACTGCGCGACGTGTTATACTCCGTTCAGTATGCTACGTAAGAAATATTTCTGTCGACTGTGTGGCCACTACACGTGTCGGAAATGCTCCGACCTGCAAGATGTCGAGAAATCCGTGGGCATTGTCGAGAAACATCGCGTCTGTGTGTCTTGTGTGCGTCGTGTGAGCTACTGCGTCTTCAGTGCGTGTGTCTTCCCGCCCACTGTAGCGTCCAATGTCAGTGGCAACAGCTGGACGTCAGCGAGGTCTCGACAATTGACCGAGATCGACATGGAGGACGCGCCTATCATGGACGATCTCGAGTCCGAGGAGCTGGAAGACGCTGAAGTTGTGCAATGTGGAGCGCTGACCGGGTTTGTATCGGATTTCTTGCATGGGAAGGACAAGAAACAGGAGCTGAAACGACAAGAACTCGCTGCGCAACGGAAGCAGCGACTGCAGCTCACTATAGATGACCTCGGGTCGTGGGCTCCAGGAGCGTCTCTCGACAGCCAGAGCACGCCGAAGGAGTCCATTTCTCTCCTCGACAGCTTCTGCACGTCGCATTCGTCGACCAGCTCACGCTCGAGGGAGTATCCGTCGTGGCTGTCACCTACGCCATTGGGAGCGTAATAAGTCTATGAAGTGACAAGATACTTTTTCTTCGATCGAAGAGGAAAAAGAGACAATTGTACACGTACACAGCTATCAGCGCTGGTCTGTTATAATAAAGTGACAACGTTTTTGAAGGGGACGACCAAATACATGTATCCATTTGCGTCGTAGGGCTAGCTCTCGTGTGGTATTACAGGGAGGATGGCGTCGATCTCTTCCTGGGCAACCCCAGCACTTTGCAGTCGTTTGCGCGCCATGGCCGTTTCCTCGGCGACTCGGACCCGTTTGAGGTCTTGGAGCACCGACGCTTCCAGTTGGGCTTTTGTTTCTATTGCCTCTTTCTTCCTTCGCTCAAGCGCCATCAGTTGAGCTGTCTCGTTTGTCTGGTGCTCTACCAGGTCGTTGACGTCTTTATTCAAGCGAACAAGTGTCACGTCCACCGATTTCATCCATGCAGTCATTGCATCCAATCGCTTGGGCCCAAATATCTTCCTTAGAGACGCGGAAGGGCTGAGGACCTCGTTTCTCTTCTGGCTAGCTGTCTTCTGCTGCTCTCGGTTGGACTGCGAGTCTTCCAACACGCGATCGCGCGTCACCCACTCGTCTGGACGGTCAAATTCCGCCAGGTAATGCACCAGAACCTGGCCATTGTTTGCTGCGTCTGGATTGGCGTCGCGCAAGTCCTTCACCTCGGCATCCAGGAGCGACGAGCCGTCAGAGACCAGCACAGTTTTGCCGATCATGATTGTCATTTGATTATAGGTTCCAACCTACAAAGTGTCACAGTTTGTAGCTTGCAGGACGGTCGTCACTATAGTCGTCAGCCAATCACAATCATGGAGGATACAACCGGTCAGAAGGTCATGCCATGAACTTGGCAGGGCTCGACACAAGTTGCTTGTTGCCGTCGATAACTCGGTCATGTGTTTATTGGTTCACTATTACAAGGTTGGCAGGATGCTGGTGATTGTCGAGACATCTTGGCATCAAGAAGCCATTATTCTCGCCGTCCTACCCTCTATCAAATGACGATCCATCGTGAGAAATATCTCAGCAAAGCATTTGCTATCTAGCAGCAGGTAGAATGGCATCGATCTCTGCTTGCGAGACGCCTGCGTCTTTGAGTCTCTTGCGTGCCATGGCGGTCTCCTCCGCAATCTTGACTCTCTTGAGGTCCCTCGCGACCTCCACCTCCAGCTCAGCCTTGTGTACTTCAGCCTCCGCCTTCCTTTTCTTAAGTTGCACAGCATCAACCTCCTGACTAATCTTGTCTCGAACGAGATCCTTTACCTGCTTGTCGAGTTGTGTCAGCGAATCGTCTAGCGTCTTCATCCATCCGATCATGGACACCAGTCGCTCCGACCCGGGAAGCGTAGTGGGTCTGTTATTAGCCTTTGTGCTCTGCTGCATTGGTCGTGTGGCATTGTGCACCAGCAGCTCATCCTTCGCCTTCTTCTGACGCTCGCGGTTATGCGGCGTGTCCTCCAGTACGTTCTCCTGGGCGATCCACTCGTCCCAGCCCTCAGACCAGCCCTTAAAGTGCACAAGAAACTTGCTAGCGTCACCTGCCGTCTCGATCTTGAGCACTTCGGCGTCATAGATGAGCAGGTCGTAGTATACGAGCACCGTATCGCCCACCTCGATCCCCATCTCGACCGCTAAATGTTCAAATGCATGAAGGCTCTGGCTAGAACAGATTAGCGGAAACTATTGGTGATTATTAGCCAATCATAGTCTCGTATTAAGCGACCAGTCAAAATCCTGCTACGGTATACAGCCCCACTCAGTATACCCGACGGACTCGGAGTCGCCCAACGAGCGCTTCACGATGGCCACCAAGGGCGCGCACGAGAAGCCGGAGACGGTCGATGACGAACACCAGCCGGTCTGCAGTCTCTCTATCTGTTAGAATACGCGAAGACTGTTTTTAACGGAGCTTTTGGCTGCTGTCGACAGATTGTCAAGAAGGTTCGTCTGGATGTAGACGCCAAAGTGACGGAGGACGTTAAGAAGGTCAAAATCGACGAGAACGCCGCGCCGCAACCTGAAATTGGCGGCCACGAGGTCTGTGCGGATGATACTATACGGTTTATAGCGAAAGTACGTCGCTAATGGGATGGGTTCACTGTGTAAAGCCAGCAGCGACGACCACGACGTCGCCCGTACAGGAGCAAGATGCAGGCTCTGACACCAAGGAGAAAGACGAGAACGAGGCTAAACCTAACACTACCGGAAGCGCCTTCGGTGGATTCAGTGCGTTTAGTAACAAGAACGCCTTCGCAGGGTTCACGGCGACGGCAAGTGCTAACGGGTTTGGCACCAAAGCGTCGTCCTCGACGGAATCGGGTTTCGGAGGGTTTGCTACTAAGGCAACAAGTGGATTTGGAGCTTCCACCCCGTCATCGAGTGAAGCGACGAGCAGCTCGAGTGGATTCGCGTCTTTTCAGAGCGACTCGACGGTGACGTTCGCGTCGTTCGCAGCAGCACAATCGACGTCGGATGACTTCGGAGCCAAGGCCTCGTCGTCTTCAGCCACCGATTTCTCCGATGCCGAGGTGGCCAAGAAGGCTGAGCCGGTTGTACCAGCGTTGACAGAAGCAGAGGTATCTTAAGAAATACTGGTGGGAAAGCTAGTGGTATTTCTAACGCTATTTCTAACGTTGTCGATCAGCTGGCAAATGGAGAAGAAGGAGAACGGATCTTGGTCGAGGTACGTTGGTATGCTATGTGTGTTTTGAATCGGTCTCTGTTAATTAACCGATATAATATCGGTTAATAGAAACGAGCGAAGCTATTTAAATTGGTGGAGAAGGACTACACAGAAGTCGGGATTGGCCCAGTGAGGGTCCTGAACGCAAAGGACGCCAAGGCTGACGATGAAAAGGTGATGGCGCGTGTTGTGATGCGACGCGAGTCGTACCCGCATGGACCTGGCACCAAGCTGCTGATGAACGCCAGTTTGGGCTCCTGTCTATTGTGCGAGAAGAAGACAGAGAAGACGATGCTTCTGACAGTGTTGGAGGCCAATGAGGACCCGGAAGCGGACAAGAAGTTCACTCCAGTGACGTATCTGATGCGGTTTGGAAGCTCTGAGGACCTGGATGTGGTGATGATGCGGATCCAGACGCACATGCTCTCGTCGACGGCTGCCGCGTCATCCAGTTGAAGCCGAAACTTGCCCCCGCTTCGAGCTGCAGAGCTCAGCTCAAAGCCGTGTAGCGATATTAGTCCAACCGACGCTAAAAAGTCACAAAGTGTTGGGTACGTGCCGGTCGGGTCGGCAGCGCACAAAGAAGCCACCGCGGTGTAACAGGACACCGACGTGCATGGCAACTTAACGCGCAGTTATCCGTTAGATAAACAAGCTAAAAGGTTGAACCACCTTTGATACACTTTTGGCTTCGCTTCACTGTACCAAATGACTGGTACAAACAAGTGTTCCGGACCGGTACTACCGGTACAGTACACGTTTTGTCATCTGTTAGATCGTAAGAAGTAAAAAGTGATGGCCAATCATAAACCTCCAGATTGTATTTACGCACACATAATTTGCCGCCAAAAAACGAGTGGAGCGTGCTGAGGAGCCCTCTCTTCGTGGCAGATTCAGACTCAATCATTCTCCAATTGTCTCTCCAGTATAACAGATCGAATGTGCCGGGCGATGAAGAACTCAAGCTCCCTCTTCTGAAAAACCATAAACCATGCGGAAGACAGCTGCATCCGGAATCATTATATGCAACCACCGAGTCCAGCCAACCCAAGAAGCGTGTACGTGTAAATATGTATATCTACATATCTGTATTGCATTATACTGCGTATCTGTATCTGGAGTGCGATGATGAAAACAGTGTCTGAATTGGCTTGTACCAACTAGCCGTGAAGATTCGAATATATCACTATCACCCATAAAATGAGCTCTCCATCTCATGTGTATACTTGTATCGAGAGGAGTGATGACCACATACTTTGGTCCGTGTTCCTGATCTGCCTCATGGCAATGAAATTGCTCAAAGTTCTGACCTCTCAAATCCATCCTTGTATATCATATATGTCTCTGCTTCTTCATACTCCACGCCGGCAATATTCTGCAGCCTGCTGGGTCGATGGTCAAGGTGTACACGGCTATCCTCTGAATTGCGCTGAAAAGTTCGACGAGGTGGTGTCGCTGTCTGCACTGGAGCTGTCAATGCCTGGTGGGTGAGCATTTGTAATTGGACCCGGTACTTTTTCACAGAAGCAAGAGTAACAGCGAGCTTACTACGGATCTCGCTGCTGTGTGCGCATGGACCTTTTGAGCTTTTTGTTTGATCTGCTTTCGGGTAGTGACAGCGAAGGGTTCATTGTCTCTAAGTGCCTGGTGCGGCGAGATCAACATAGCTGCTTATATCTCTGTCGATACATGTTTTATATATGGATATCGAATCTGGTTGTTGATGATTAAAACATTCATGCACCACTCTGAAAGGAGCTGCGACGTGTTTTAAACTCGAAGCGTTCTTTGTGTCGATAAATCGAACACCTTAAGAATCGGATGAAACAACCGTGGATGTATATGTGTTTGCATGTCGCCGAGGAGGATACCTTTTTATCATTACCACCTAAACTAACCCTTTTGGTCTTCGGACAAACATGTGGACTTCCTACACCTGTGTTTCTGAGGCGACATTTTATATATATTGTGTATCCTGTTTTTGAGACGAAGAGTGACGATAAACTTGTTTTAGGATTCCCCTTCACGAGAGCCGCCTACATCGGCATATATGATGAGCATCCACTATCCGACTTCTCTCTCAACATTTTTATGTTTATTCGCGGACGACGATGATTAAAACTATCCAACACAGACCTGTTCTGAAGCAACGTGTGGATACCTTTAACATGCATCACCATATGAGTCATCCCGGCATCAACTCCATGTCCATACTCCTCTTCAAGGCGATGATTATAAAATTCTCAGACCTGTTCTGAAACTACATGTGGATACCATAACATGCATCACCATATGAGCCTTTCAATTTAAATGTAGTAGCAAAAAGTATCTTTCTCAAAAAAACCAATTTAAAAAACAATAAACTTTACAGTGTTATTCTTCTTCAAAAAATCAACTCACGAAGTTCCAGTTTTTACTGCTGCTGCCAATGTCTCGAGGATAATTGTCTTGGCTCGTTGGTAGTCCAGAGGATCAAGCGAGTAGAGATCCTCACGCGCACGATCTCCATAGCGACCAAACTCCTCCAAGTCGCTGGACCTCAAAATTTGCTCAGCCACTGTTCGTTGCAACTGCTGCATCTGCGCTGGAGCCAACGTATCTTGCGCTAGTGCCAGCAACTCAAAGGCTTGTCCTGCAAAGCGTAAGGACTCAAGACGCAGCGTCTCCACGGGCCAACCGTCAAGCCCTGGGAGCACAAAGTACATGTCGCCCACCTTCCACATGGGCGCGCGCCAGCGTAAATCGTCCCAAGGTCTTGAAGGCCAGAGGCAATAATTCCAACGCAGAAACCCGTCAAGCTCGAAGAAGAAAGTGAGGTATCCCACGAGCTCGCCTTCAACCAGAGGCGACGACACAAACTGGTTCGGGAACGCGGGGCCGCAGCACACGTACCAGCACACGTGTCCTCCTCGAGCTCGTGCTTCATTTGCTAAGCGTCGCGTCACCTCAAGATCGGCACATGCCAACGGCAACAACGGCACATAATCGGCAACTTGAGGCGGATTATACGCGGGAGAGAAAAACTCGGAATGGTTTACCGCCAGTTTGATACGGAAATTTGGCGCGAGACGTTGCATGAAGCGCAACTGTTCGTGAAAGACGGCAACATCACGTGGTTCGTCAGCACAGATGCGCACGCGATCCGCAATTTCTAACGCTACACAATGCGCATAGAATTGTTCAATGAAAGCTTCCACTTCGGACACTCGCTTCAAGTACCGTACACGTTGTGTGCTCCGGTCTTGACAGCGGATACGCCAGCCGTCAATCACAAACGCTGGAGCTTGTGAGGAAGAGTTGTTCTCCTCCTGCGTAGACCCGGAGGACTGCGCAGTGGGAGACGTCAAGCCTGAGCCGGATGAAGAGCGACGACGTGGCTCTGATGCCGAGGCGGGCTCTGGCGTAGATGCAGTCGGAGGAGGACGAAGATGATGCGCGGTGAGCTCCGCAGGCGCGTTGAAGCCCGCGACGGGGTCTCGCCATACAGACAGAAGACCGAAGACCTCGATTTCGTCGTCTATTTGATGACGCGCACCTAGTTCCAAGAGTCGATCGAAGTGCGCAAAGTTGATAGTCAGCGGGATGTTATGCGCGGGATCTTCGTATACCTCCAAGATGGAATGCTCAAACAACGCAGAGGCATTCTGTTCCTCCATGTAACATTGCTGGCCTGCCCAGGGCATCTCTGTGGCTACCACAGACAAGCATTTCTGACCCATCTCGGATAACGGAGCCATGTAGCGATCGATTAGTTCAAAGTGACGAGCACTCCATAATGTTACACGATGAGCACGTGCCACGGCAGTCCAATGTTGCCATAAATCCAGTCGGAAACGCCAGTTACGGGGGATGGGCAGACGGACGTCCACGACCCGCACGGCGAAGCTACTGGACCAAGTCAGGTGTTCGTCTTTAAAGCCAGCGTCTTGAGTGAAGACACGTAACGGCAGTTCGTACAACCCAGGGTCTAAGTTCTGACCAATACGAACTCGCAGATACACTGCGTGTTCCCTCGTGGCTTTGTTACTGACTCCGGTACGTTCCAGAGTCTCCATGACGAGGTCCGCGTTTTCGTCTTCTACACCCCCAACTAAGAATGTTTCCACTTGTAACATATTTGGAGGAACAAACCTCGAGTCCACAGCCACTCTGGCTCGAGGACCATGACCCAATGGTAACATCCAGTTACTTGTGTCTGTCGTCAGTAAGAAAGGGACGTTGGATTTCAGTCGCAATTGCAGCCCCGTGACTTCGTTCCTCGCTGCTGTGAGTCTCACGCCCTCAGGCAGCTCCACGTGGGCTGTAGACGACGCCCAGGCCACTCGTCGATTGCCGTGCTGTTGAGAAGTGCCCGTGTTGCTGGCATTCGCCGCGTTTTGAGCCTGACTCTTCTCGGTTTCTTCGTCGAAAGGCTCATCGTCCTCCATGTCTGCACTTGGGTCCATACTCGTCATTGTTTTGGACATTGCAGGGGCGAATTGCGTTAGTAGCCACATCGTATGATCGGAGGACGAGCGGCCACTTAGTGTGGCGTCCACTACGTCGAAGGAGAAGCTCGTACGTGGAGGTACGGCGATGTTACTATTCGTGTTAGGATCTTGATACGGTAATTGACGGGCAAAGTCGTCGAAAGAATTAGCCCGACTGGAGCGTCTCGGTCCGTCTACATGCTCTCGATCCTGTTCGTGTTGCTCCAAGTGACTTTCGATCTCTAGAGAAGAAGAAGAACTCATAGACTCGTCGTTCGACATGGACGCGTCGTCGTCTGCGTGTTCGTCTGGGGCTGTGAAACTCCCGCTGGCCGAGCGGATGCGCTCGTCCACTCCGCTGTTCTGGCAAGAGAAGCCCCCGCTCTGCTGCGCTGATGTACTGCCGCCGGGAGACGACATCGGTCGGGTGGATCGCTAGCGATGATTTCGCGAACTAAGTCATAAAGATGAGCCTTTAACTTACGATATTATAATCCAGAGGAATAATATTGATAGCAGGAATTCACAAAATAACCTTAAATAAGAAATATGATATTTTTCCTATTACAGATACTTTAACTATTATACCACAAAAATATGGTGTTGTTTGTGCTATACGTGAAGGCGGAGCTGGAGAACGTGGAGACGCTGGTGGCGCCGCCTCTGCATCGCTGGTGTCTGGATGTGAAGGAGCCGCGTGGCGACGAAAAGCGCGAGGCAGTTTTCGTGTCGGACGAGGAGGCTGTGGACGTGGCTGGCGGTCGAGGAGAAGCTCACTTCACGCTAAAGTGGCCGGGAGCCAACAAGCCGTCGCAGTTGACGGTGGTACGCGATGTGAAGAAGCTCACTCGCGAGGTCACGGGCGCTGACTCGGGCGAGTTTGTGCCCTTTGTGGGCTTCGAGTGCCGCGGCCTGGAGCCCTACGCTTGGCACCCAGAGAGCGGCTACCGCGTCTTGTCGGCCGGACGCCACGCCGCCTTTGACGACGTTGATTTAAGTGAGGATTGGGCTGATTATGACGAAGAAGGAGAACAATCAGTGGGAATCTACAACGTCGAGTGGAAATTCGAAGTGCACAAGTAGAGAAATTGATAAAAAAAAATCAATACAAACAAAATGTATTGATCCTTTTTTTACTATGGATGGAGCGAATCTTGAGAGCCGAGACGTACGAACTCTTCCTTGTCGTCCAAGTCTTTCTGAATCTCCTGCGCGATATCGTTAAGAAGAGTGTCAAAGTCCCAAGGCTCGTCGTCTTCCGATACCTACAAAGTTTTTTATTAAGGGATTTTTTTAAAATAAAGTAATTAGATTCGAGACGTACAGCACGTTCTGGACAAAGACCGCTGGTTAAGAGATGCAAGTCGACGCCGTGGGTCTGGATCAAAACGTGTTATTTATCATATTTCTGTAATAATGGAGTGTAGCTTTTACCTGTGCACTTGGAAGAGCGAACTTGATCTCTTTGTCGAGCTGCTTCAAGCTCTGCACGGCTCGGGTCGTGTTGCGAGGAGCCTCAGCAACTGTACAAAATTAAAAAAAAAACGTTCGAAACTGTTGAGTTTAAAATAATTAAAACACTTACCCATAGTCGTGATATCCTGCTCGCGCTCTTCTTCCTCTAAGTCCGGGATCTCCATGATATCTGCTCCACAACAGCAGATGAGATTTCTGTAGCTATCTAGCTTCTTAACTCGACATTCGTACCGGTAGTCTCATCGTCCTCTTCGAAATACCGGTTCTTCTGGTTGCGTCTCTCACCTCCGGAAGCCGGAGCTTCGGATCCCTTGCGACGTCGGCCTCCGCGCTTCGTCTCGCTTGTGCTGGACCCAGTGGCAGCAGATTCGGGGTCTGGAGTGCCGCCACCTTCCTTGCTCTCACTGGCCAGTGTCGTCTCATTACCCCAACCAATACTTGCACGTACCGGTGGCTTCTTGGCGTCGTCTGCTAATACCGTCTCATCATCTACATCGAAAGCAGCTCGACCTCGCTTGGCTTCCCAACCAACATCAGAATCCTTGCTCTCTTTGGCATCCGACGGCATGATCCAGGCTTTGGCGACGTTTCAAGATTTAGTCGAAAGATCGACTAATTACTAATAAATTTATAATATTATAATATATATGTGCGAATTATGACCATTTTAACAATTCAAAAACCACCCTTTATTAAGAGGTTTCCGACATTGTTTTAAGCTTGTTGGCAAATCGTTCCATCATTTGATCGAAGCTTTGTACGTGCCTCAAATATTTAAGATCCGACGGTGTCTTCTTCTCTGCAATCCATTTCCCAATCACCGCATTCTGCAGATTCGAGGCCAGTTTCTCCGTGCTGGGGTCCTTTTTCGCCGCATTAAGTATCGGCAGTAGGTGGATGTCGTCGTAGTTGGCCCGAATGGCGTCGATCATAGTCGTCTTCTGGTCCGGATATCGGTGGTTGAAGGTATTCAGATACTTGGCCCAGATTTTGAATTTTGGACTGCTCAGAGTCTTGTCCCCTGCTTTGTTAAGGTTCAAAAAGTGGAAGGCAGCACTCGGGGGTTTAGCATCATTTAGCCAGTTGTTGAGCCACGCACTCTCGGCTTGCTTAGCGATTTTCACCGTTCTTGGATTCTGCATCCCCTTCTCGATCACCCTCTCGACCCCAAACCACCCATACTTGACACGGATGGGCTCAAACCACGATTCTTCCTTACCTGGGTTCTTCTTGCTGAAAACATTTACGTAAATCATCCACGACTTGAAAGTGGGATTGCTGAGAAGGCTGTCCCCTACATTGTCCAATCCGAGGAGCGTAAACGCCTTCTCGGACTCGCAAAAATACTCCGGATCTTCTCGGTCTGCATCTTTACAGCGGCAGTTGCCAAACTGGGGAACTTCTTGGCTACTTCCAAGATTTGGAGTAGAGGCTTGTCGTCAAATTTGGTCTCCACGGTCGAGAACAACTTTGACGTCTTGCTAGGGTCGATATGTACGATGTCATCCATGTACGCCACCCACGTGTTGAGGAGCGGATTCCGCAAGAAGTTGTGTTCTGATTGATAAAGCTTCAGCAGCTCGAAAACGTCGTCGGTAGATTTCCCATTGCTTAGCCACATTTTTAGCTGCGCGGATTCCAGATTTCTGGCAATATCTACATCTTTCGACTTCGCAGCTGCAAGCAAGTTCGATTTTTTTTTATCGCCAAACTTTCATGTAAACGTCTCGATCATTGTCGTTTTGTGTTGAGGAAACTTGGCATTGTACACATCCAAGTACTTGGACAATATGTTTAGCAATGGATTTTCCAAAAGTGGGCTCGCTGTACCCAGCTTAAGGTCCGCCATGGCTTTATCCGGTGTCTTTCGATCGACTAGCCAGAGCTTAATCACTTCAGTCTCCAGTCTTGAAGCGATGGTTTTGGTCCCTTCCACACTCTTCGCCGACTCGGCCATTTGGAGTATATCGACATCCGTGTAGTGTTGTCTTAGCGTCGGGATCATAAACTTTGCGTCTTCGGGGTTGTCTACGTTCAAATCGTCCACGTATTTTGCCCAAGCGGTGAATTTTGGGCTGCTGAGAATGTTTATCCCCGCGTCAAGCTTGAATAAATTGAAGACCTCAGCAGGATCTTTGCGAATGGCTACCCAGTGCTCCATTTGGTCTGTTTGCAATCTCTTGGCGAGGTCTTTCGTCCGTGAGATCATCGTGGCATGTTCAAACATCGTGTACAGTGCATCGTCGCCGTACTGAGTCGTCAGTATCGAGATCGCGGGGATTCGTTTCTGATAGGTCTTGGCATTCAGATCATCGACGTACTTAAGCCACACACTGAACTGGGGATCGTTGAGCAGAAATGACCCAAGATTCGTAAGTTTCATGCGCGTGAACACTGTCTCTGCTGATTTCCCCTCGTTTAGCCAAGTCTGGAGCTGTTGCTGCTTTACATTCGAAGACGTGAACCAAGTTTTTAGCTTTTCGATAGCAGGTACGGAAAGACCCGCTCTGTCTTCGTCTTCGCTAGTCCGTAAGAACGTAGTGGTAGCACTTGGAACCCAATTGTCAACATTGGGCACCTGGGAATTTGAGCTTGTAATAGGCGCATTGGCATCAATCGTCGTGATGGCGATGCAAGAAGTCAATCCAAACTGGTAGAGGAGTCGCTTCATTCGGCTTAGAAGTAAGGTGGGAAAAATTGAAAGAAAATGCTCACGCTTGTAGTGTCTGCAGGTAGACAAAGACACGTTGGGGAGCTGGCAAAGCTCCGGGTAAGTTGTTGCCGAGTGAGTAGATATTACGATGGTGAGGGTGTTTGACTGTCCATCACCGACACGACGAGTGGACCCTTTCCCATGAAAACCACATGAATCTCGCCATTGTCTACCTTGACTATTGCATACCCAGGTCGCGAGCTTTTTGAAACTTCTGAGTGACTTTGTTTAGAGCCTGTAGCGGTAAAACGGCTACGAATGAGTTTAATCTGACCTCATTTTCGGAATCAGCGACCGGGAAATCCCTATTAATCTAGCTATCGATATAGGTTTATCTTGAATAAGACCCTTCTCTGGCGAGTCAAAGCTACTAGTACACCATTTCAGCCCAGAGGACGGATTCAATACAGCCACCTCCTGGCCGACCTGTGCATAGGCCTGTCCAGCCCTATGCACAGGTCGGCCAGGAGGTGGCTGTATTGAAATGTAATTTGAATCCGTCCTCTGGGGAGAACGGACCTGAAATGGTGTAGACACGAAATGACGATAGTGTGTACAAAGAAGCCAAAATGTCCAGTAGTATGTAGATTACTGGCCCATGGAAGACACGCGTACAAGGGCTGGACTGCCGTGACGCACATGCGTCACAGCCACGTGCAGCATACCCCGCCAGACTAATTTAGCCACCTCTCCAGAAACTGAACCATCACAGTCGCAGATTCGATGCCTCCGTCGCAAGCCTGGTCAAGGTTGATGGAATGCAGAACTGAAGCTGAATTCGAAAGTTACCGATGGCAAGTCTTCTGCTGCTCGGTCGAGCGCGATGTGAGGCCATTTGTCTGCTCAATTTGTCCGGGCGATCATGATATGATCGAGCGGCACCTTCACTGCAAGAGTGTAACGTGCGAGAATAGCGTTCTATGAACAAAGTGCCCCGTTCACCGGAAGGTCCGTCACTGCCCTACTGCATCTATTTGGGTCACTCTTAGCAACGGAAAACCGCACCTACGCGGCGACACAGAGTGTGCTGTGCCACCACGCCCTAAGGTTACACCCGACATGAAAGCCTACATCCACCGAACGGACGAAAACGCAGTACGACCTCGACTAATCTGAAGTAATCCCTGCGAGATCCTGACATCCCGAAACCGGTCCAGGGCTACCCATCGTACGCCCAGGTACAGCGCAGCGTTAGGTACATACGCTGACTTCAAGGGAGCAAAAAATCAATTCAACGAGTGAGGGAGATGATGCATTCTAAGGCTTTTGTTGTAGCGGGGTAAGCGTTACTGTCACTAGCAAACACTATAATGTGGAGGAAGCTCGCAATAATATAACCAAGTATTTGGTTTGTGTCAAATTCAACTCTCATTTATTTGGGACCAGGGCGGCTACCCCTGGCCTCGTATGAGCCACTCAATTACATGTCTACACCTGATTGGTCAATAATTGAGTCTGGCTCATCACTATCAACCAATCAGATGATGACACCTTGGCACATGCTACCCGCGTGCCACTTTGACTACTTATGTAATAATATCTACCTACTTTTGTAATTAAAGTTAAGCCCATTACATATGTAGCCGACATTGAACCTGACGTATTTGGAAACGTTGAAGACGAAAACGATTTCCCATTTGTGGGGAACGGAGAGGACGAGCAACCGTTGATTTGAGCATTACTGCGACGAAATTGCTGCGAAGCATTCGCGCGCTACAACGAGCGGAACCTTTCCTTATTTTCATCTGGACGCGACTTTAAGCTCAGTGATCTTGGGTATCCTGTCACCACGTGTGGCTTCATCGATAACCGCCGTGTGTACCACATGGGTGCCTTATTAATCATTAGCCAGCGCACGGAAAGTGAAAACTTCGAGCCTATTACAACATTTACGAGGCTTTTTCAGACACACAGATACCACTAAGAATTGATGCTGTTATGGGTGATGCCGAAGCTGCTCAGCTAAACGCACTATCAAAGTTTGCTGTATTTGATAGCTGCAAGCGTTGATGTTTTTTTTTCACGTGCTGTATAACGTCCGAAAGCGCATCCGGCACTTAGCCGATTCGACCCGGGCAGTTGATTACCGTGGGATTCTAGATATGCACTATACACTTTGTGACGAAGATTTGATTTCGGTCTGGAACTAAGTGATGCGTGACTGGAGCGTGATTCTCGCTTGCTGAACTTTGTCAATTATTTTTATTAACAGTGGATAGCAAGTCGATTCTGGCGTTGGCAAGTCTACCACTCTCCTGGTGGGTTTGCAACGACAAATTACCCGTGTGAAGTCTTCAGCGCCATCATTAAACGCTACACGCAACGGAAAGCGGTGGATACTAGACGCTTAATAATGAAGCTGCTCACGATTGCAAAAGACTACTCCATCTGCGCACCTACGCCAGCAACGGGTTCGTTACCAGCCCTCCTTCCCCTTCTCAAGAAGCCGAAACATTAGCTAAAGTACTTGTGTCAACTCGTCGAATTGCAGTGTTCCAAACCGTGACGAATCAAAAGCTCGGGCTCGCTATCTTGGAGACACTGGACGTGATAACGAGGACATTGCAAACATTGCATACATTGCCGCAATTGGTAATTTGCGGGGTGTAGACATAACGCCGGGAGTGGCTTTAATTAGCTCTGCGGACTACCTGACTGACGATGAGAAAAAGTTAGCGTCAACATTTTATCGCTCAGCGGTGAAATGGTCAGTCCGACGAGCGCACCATGTTGGTATACCACCAACGAGATGACTTGCAATACTACATTTGAGTGAGGGTGCGTACTACAAAACAAAAATCTATCTTGTGCGCATGTCATATGTGGACGCATGGCCATCGGTCTAAGTGTACCCGGCGCTGGAGGGTTACATATGAAACTCAAGGATCACTGAATTTGCCGTGCCTGCGATGCTAGACGAAAACATACAGCTCACTCGTTATTGCAAAGCAGTGATCACGCTATAGAGACTGTATTTAGCTGCCCCGTCTCGGATGGCAGCATTGACTCGACGCTGAGCTTTGATCTTCTGAGTGCATCGGCATCGGTTCAGACGTTTCTTCGTGATTTCACGGATGACGGCGTCAATTTGAACGGGCCAGTTGCGACAAACACTTATGGTGGAGAAAATAATCGGATGGATGAACATACAGAGACTAGTGAGGATGATTTTGCGGAGTCGGCAAGTGGATGGATGCAGCCTCAGGTGGGTGACGAATATCTATCTGCAGACAACATCCATGAGGCAACAAGTGGCAGCATTCAAGAGTCTACTGTCTCATCCGAGATTTCAAGGATCACATATCGTCGCTATTGTCGCCGATACAGCCTCCGGATCAACAACAGCACACTGTCTTCCAGGAAGAAGGAATTCCTTTACGAAGACAGGTGGGACGACCAACGCTTGCAACTCCTGCTTTAGATATTCAGTATTTGCTAGCTAGAGAAATACGTAGACTTGTACCTTGGCTTCCGTCAACCCAGCGTGCCTCTCATGCTTCGAAAGGACGCTGTATTCTCTATTCTAAGTGGGGGAGAGGCTCGGAAAGCTCTTTCCTCCCATGTCTCTAATCTAAGATTGATTTCGCTGCGGAACAAGTGAATTCCTTTGTGGATACTAAGCTGAGCGTGATTAGCAGGGTCCGCGATGCAATGGTAGCGACCCACGCCAGACAGATCGAGTACTCAGACAAATATGGAAGCAGCAAGGCTGCGGTCGAGACCGTACGCCGGAGGGTCCCCGTACGAACGTACTCCGGAGCCATACGCCGAGTACGTCAAGTACGTCGAATACGCACCATACGCGTATGACTGGGGGTACGCCGAATGCAGCTCCGGACGTGGCAGCAGAACCTCGATACGTCGGTTCATGCGGAAGGCCTCGTCAAGATCGGACGAAAAGGCCCGCCGGTCCACCCGCAGATGCAGCCTAGAGACTTCCCACTCCAACAGGTCCAGGCGACCCGCAAGACGAGCGATCACGCCCTGATTCCCGGTCTGGGCGGCAGCATCTCCGCCAGTCCCAAGGCCAAGTGCAATCTCAAGCACGAGGACGCGTTGACGAAGGCGATCAACCTCAGGGCCTTGCGTCGAACCCACAAGAGAAGCACGTGGTCCACAGTAGCGTCTTGGAGGCGCCTGGTAATCGTACCCGTACGAGGGCACCTCCGCCTCTGCTTGACCGAAACGGAGAAGTCCACTACCACGTGGAGCGGATCCTCCAGGAGCAACGGCGTCGCGGTAAGTGACAGCTCCTCGTGAAGTGGAAAAATTATGCCCACTCCGAGAACTCGTAGAAACCGATTAAACGGCTCCTGATAGACTACCCGAAGGCTGTCGCAATGTGGGAATAGAAGCAGCGGTAGTTTCGTAACTAGTCCGGGGCTCCTTCCCCGAACGAGGTACAGACGTTGACGACACATCGTACCCGCGTTCATCGTAAGCGCTGGAAGCCGCGCGCTTCAGAATGTCCCTTGGCAGCATGCGCTTGCTGACTAAGTGAACGAGCCGGACACAAAGATCATGCTGGCCCAGGATGCGGGACAGCAGCTGATCTTCATGGAGCTCCCGTAACTCCGAGGGCGATTACTTGAGAGACTCAACCCATGCCCAGAACATGTCCTCACACGAGTTCCAATTGGGGCAGTTCTCGGGAAGAACCTAGGGGTAGCCCCCGATACATCCCGGCTCTCTCTTTGTTTTTTTTTACGACAAGTCGTGAAGCCCTTCAGAGAGATTCTGTGCGCGCGAGAAGCACGCACCGGGCCGCCTCCAGATTGTCGACAAAAAACTGTTTCTTCTGGACCAGGGCACGTTCGGAAACGCCCTTAGAAACATGGCCACCGACAAGTCCACGAGGAGCGACGAGGATCTCCAGGAAGAGGTCAGCCCCAAAGCTCCCCTCGGGAGGCCAATAACCTCTTGAGTTGATGGTAGCTCCCTTGCTGACGGTTGCAACC